AAGCAGAGACACCCAGCAACCAAAACCCCATTCCTTGCTCACTATATCCGTATAAGCACCTTCTTCTCCCCACCTCAGTGGCTACCCACTCAAGACCCTGATCCATTTGGAGAGCTTTCCTGTCCTTCCTCTTTTTTTTTTTTTAATCAATAAATCTCTTGCTTTTCTGTGCCTTTGGTATTGATGTTGAATTCTTTCCTCCCTGAAGACAAAAACCTAGAAAGGGTCCTCGGACTCTGAGCCTGCTCCCCAAAACCTTGATTCAAAAGGATGCGAATCTTGGAGGCATATTTCATGGAGGTAAGGGATCTTTGAAGACTAGATATCAGACAGTTTATGTAGCTTTATGTGCTCAAAAGTTTCAAAGATAATTTGGGCTCTCCCTGGTGGCACAATGGGTTAAAAAACAACACTATGAAGCTATTGCAGATACTGTAGCACTAGTTCAATCCCTGGCCAGGAAGGTGACCCACCTGGTGTGGCTGACCTCTCTAACTCACCCGCTGCTCCCCTCAGCAGTGTATTTCAGTACATCTGCCTGCTCTGTTCCCCACTTATCTCTGGTGAATCCTCTTACCTCCTGCATCACTGGCTTGTACCCCAATTCTGTATGTATAAATAAATCTTAAAAAATCATAATCATACAAAGACAAACTTTTTCTTATCCTAAATGGAGACCAAAAGGCCTTGAGGTTATATTTCAGTTTTTTCAACTACTTATAAAACTTTTCATTGCAACTCTGCCTGATGAGTCTTTAAAAGAAGACATGACTTCTAAGAGGGGCTAAATAAAAAATTCAAATATAACAGCTGTAAGTTGAGCAGACCGAAAAAATTCTCTAATGTTTTAAAAACATAAGGAGACACTTTCTAAATGATAAGGCATTTTTAAAGATTTCTGGCAACCATGATAACCATTTTGGTATGTAATCAGGCAAAGAGTAGCTTGTGAGCAAAGAGCAGAGGAGATGAGATAACAAGAGGCAGCCTCTGTAGCAGGAAACCAGTCATTTATGCTTTCTTTTTGTTTGCTTGAAAGACACCCAAACTGCATGGAGAGGCCACATATAGGTAGTTTGAATGACAACCTCCTTTGCCCACAGCCAACAGCCAAATAACTGTTAGCTATGAGGGCAAACTTACTTGGCCACCCAAAATAGTAAAGCTTTTAGCTGCCTTGAGCCTAAATTGTGACAACTTATGAAAAACCCCACGTCAGGACTGCCCCATGGAACCATGAGAGCAGTAATAGACTGTTGTGTAAGTCTTTGAGTTTAGAGTTGTCCATGTGTAACTGTAGATAACACAGACATTTCTGAGCAGAGGAGAAAATTATAAACTTTTCTGCCCAGAAAAACTGGATAGTCACATTCCTTTGTTCCTTTATGCTTCTTCCTTCTCCCCTGCCCTTCCTCCAACAGTTACTTATACAGAACTGATTTTGTGTCAGACATTCATATAGCCCAGGGGATAGAAGAGTGGAAAGGATCCTAGTCACATTACATAATAGGCATCTCATTCTTAAGAAAGGGAGACATACAAAACCTTGGTACAACAATAAATAAGACAACCTCAGATAGTTATATGTAATATAACTGTATGTATACATCTTGCATACAATTTTATGGGGTTCACAGGACTTCTATGGTTTTTCCTTTCTTGCTTTCCAATGAACAACTTCTCTTTGAAACAATCAGATAACTTTTTAATATGAGCATTGGCTATCCAATGCTTTTTCACATACAGTGGGCACATAGATGACTAATCTTATTTTTCCCTCTGAAGAAAAATTATAGGCAGTATCATTGGAGTGGACTTTCCTAAACAGTAGAAGAACGTTGGTCCCTTTGACATTTTGGAAAATACAGCTGAAATAAGTGAGGATGATAATGTGCACTGTAAGGCTTTCTGGGGGAAAAAAAAAGGGCAAAAGACAGGCTTCCCTGGTGGCTCAGAGGTTAAAGACTCAGGGCTATTAAGCTATAGCAAGCTACTGGGCATGAGTCCGCTCCAAGTCAGGGAAACCCTTGTGGCATGATGTAGCAAACCTCTCCTGTCTCACCCACTGCATCCCTCAGCAGTATAGTTCAGAAGATCTGTCTGTTACGCTTCCAACTCTGTCTCTGGTTAACCTTCTCACTCTCCCGCTACCTCTGGCCTAGACTCGAGTTCTTGTATGCAGAAATAAATAAAATGAATCTTAAGAAAATTCTTCTTCCAGCTCTCCCTGGTGGCACAACAGGTTAGAGCCCAGCACTGCAAGTTAGCCACAGCCGCTTCAGTGTGAGTTCGATCACCAGCCTGGAGGTGACCACATGGCATAGCAGACCTCTTCTGTCACCTGCTGCTCCCTTCAGCAGTGTACTTCATTGGTCTGCCTGTTCAGCTCCCTACTTTGTCGCTGGTGAATCCTCTCACCTCCCCTGCTTCTCTGGCCTGTACCCTAGTTCTGTATGCATAAATAAATAATCTTAAAAAAAAATCTTTTTCTGCCTTCACTCCCACCCCCATCTTCTTACCACTCTTAAAAAATATTAAATGGACCATATAACCACAGATTCACATTTCAAAGTCTCAATTTATAGGAAACTCTGAAGCGCTACCCTTTCATTCACATTCTGAAGATGAGAGTGAAGGATGAGTGATTTGCTCTGCAGAAGTTTTTCCCCTGTTCTTATGTTCTTACCACAAATTGTACTTCTGATCTTAGTTATTAAGACATCCTGTGGGGGTTTTAAACATGGACTTTACCTCTGGCAACATTTAAAGCATTTTAATTAGCATAATGTATAACTTTTGCAAAAATAAAATGCAAACATCCATCTATCTTGCTCATTATGACACATGAGATGTAGTTCTAAGCCTTTGGTATTTGTGAAGTATTTTAACAACCGGTTACTACATATATCTTTTCACTTTTAGTAGCTTTGTAGTTAATAACTATTTACCCTTTCTTCATTTAAAAGATATTTAGTATTCTGGATTTCATGTTGGAAATATATGATGAATATAACCATGGAACTGATAGAATGTAATTGTAATTACTTAGGAACTGGCAGAACACACCACTTGTGGTCAATTCCACCTATTCCACAAGTAAATTTTTAGTGGCGCATCTACACTTCATTTCTATATTGACTACAGTTGCCTTCATTTTATTATCTTTCCACTTTTAGAAAAGTTGTCTATCCTTGATTTAGAGAAAAATGATTCAATATTTCCATGGTAATCATTTGAAAGTTCTTTGTTTATTATATATCACAGATAACTGATTTTGCATGCCTACCATATATCAACTATTACACTAGATATATAAAGACAAAAATCTATGTTTATATAGTTTAACAATACGTTTAAAATAGCTAATAATAAAAGTTATGGTAAGCCCCTGAAATTATACCTAAGCACAAATAAGGTGTTTTATTGAGGTAACACAACTCATTGATTACAGACTTGTGGAAAAATGGGGGATTTCTCAACATTAATAATACTGCAGCATCACAGTGCTATTATTGAAGTATCAAATTAAACCAGTAGTGCTCATAACTAAGTCAAAATAAAGTTTAAAAAATTACCCATATGATTTATGGAAAAACATATCTGAAATTTCCACTTCATTTTGCCAAATAAGCCTGTGGCCAGGACTCTTCATCCAAAATCCCATTAACTCATTAACTCGTGACTTGGGGTTCTTGTTTATAATGTTTGCAGTGAGGTCCTTGAGTAACATCTCTGGATTGTCTCTGTGCTCGTCAAGATTTCCTTAAATGATGAGAGTTCAACCACAAATGACAATAAGCTTTCCTTGAGGCCCTAGCATGTGCACCGTTATCTGGTGAGCCAGAAGGGTCTCCAGCCTCTCAGAAAGTCATAATGTCCCTATCGGAGTGATTACTTATCAGAGTATTCCATAATGCTGGAGAAGTGTTTGGCTGTTGAAGTTTCCCATGTCTGGCCAACTCTTGCTGTTTTTACGCCATTCATGTAACAAAGGATTTAATATTTTTGTATCAGGATAATGAACACTAGTCTTTACATATTTGGATTAACTGCATGAAGATCTAAAGGGGTGTATTAATTTGCATTTTCTTAAATAATATTCAAGTAACACCACAATACTTAGGAGCTTCAAGTGGCTTTAGAGCTCGGTAAGACCTAATGTTATGGACAGTTCTTAAAGTCTGCAAGGGAAGAGCCAGGGACTTTGGCTCCTCCTTCCATCCCTTCTTTCCCAAACACAGCACCTAGTTTCTTGGTGTCAGTTTTCACCAGCTGGAAAAGAAAGATAATAAAAACCAGGCAGAGTTGCCAGCTTTAGTAATTCTAGTTCCTGGAATCAAGGACAGGAAGCCTTTTAGCTATTTGCACACCCTAACTTTTCTAACTTCGACTGAATAAATCATTTAACTGTCAGCTAATTACAGTGTTGGAAATTTTACATCATTCATCTTTTTATGGCACCTCTTAATGGAAGACTCTGGAGATTAAAACTCTTGACAATTTGCATGATTTAAAAAAGGAAAGCTGACCTACAGAAAGGTGGGACAAAAGATGAACATCTGAGAAGTTTTCAGCAGCTCTGGGATCATACACAGTAGCCTAAATATAGTGTTGATTGAATACTTAGATTAAGTTGCTGAAAATGGCAGAAGTGTTATTTTTATCAGAAACAATGGCGTTTTATTGAACAAATGATTATTTTTCACCTACTACCAAGGAATCGCTTGTTCCAGGTGATAACCCTAAGAGACAGGTTTTATTACTTATGCCACTTTACAAATGAAGAAAGTGGAGCACAGGGAAAATTATTGTCCAATAGCTGGTGAGTAGTTGCGCCAGAAGTGAAAAGCGAGGCGACCTGCCTTCAGAGATCATGCCCTTGGTCACTACTCCACTGACTTTCACCCCTGGTCTCAGCCAAGCCTACAGCAGCTACGGACACGAGCTTAGGGCCGTTTCTCGCTTTGCCTCGAAGTCCCGCCCTAAGCCTGGGGTCTTCACTAGGTCTTCGGTCCTCGCTCCTTGCCACCGCGCGGGGGGTCAGAGGCGTCCTCGCGATCCCGCAGCTCCAAGCCCAGAAGCGCGTCCCCGCGTACGGCGGGGGCGCGGGAGCAGCGCGCACGTGCCGCCGGGAAGGGGCCGCTTGGGCCGCGCCAAGATGGCGGCGGCCGCGGCCGCTGCCGCAGCAGCGACGGTTGGCGGTGGCCCGTGAGGCGGGCGGGGCCGGCGGCACGGAGGCGGGGTCCCGGGCCGGCCGCCCTGGGAGGCGGGGGCCGTTTCCATAGCGGCGGCAGGAGGTGTAGAGCCGGGGAACTTCCTGGTTCCCGGGCTCGGCTACGCCGGGATCTTCTTGGAAGGGAAACAATGGGGCGGAGGGCACTGCAGTAGCTACCGCCGCGCCGGGACCTGCTTGGCCGCTCGGGACTCCCCACTCTGCCCCCTCGCACAGCCTCCACCGACGGGACTGCTCGGAGGTAACTTCCTTTCCTCTTCTCCCAGCCCAAGTGGCTCGCCAGCGGTGGCGGAGGTCTCTCGGCTTTTTCTCCGGGGCTGGGACGCGGAGTTGGCCCCGGGGAGCCGGACGCCGCCATTCCCGGACCCGGGGGGAGGTGGACGGCGCTGCGTCTCCCCCCTCAGCCCTCTGATGGGCAGGCTCCGGAAACGTGTGCGTGTGACATTCCCAGTTCCCGACCCTGGGACCCTGGGTTGTAGGATCCTGGGGGTGTGATTGGCAGGTTGTGGGGGGCACAGCGAAGGAGGTGCGCGCGTAGGGTCTGCCCGGGACAGCGCGGAGGTGACCTGCTGGCGGTTTTAGGGGGGTTTGGGGAAGGGGCCGGGGTCCACCAGATTTTGGGGGAGGGGAGACCCGCTCTCTTCCTCCTCCCCCCTGGGGCTAGTTTCTGTCCCCGGGAGACGTGTCTCCCTTGCAAGTTTCAGTTGCTTTCTATAGAGTCCAAGTGGGCAGGACCCAGGCAAACTTCGTTCTTTAAATTACTGCTTCCATGCTGCGGAGCTCCGTTTCGACTAGGCAAGTGGAGGATGGGGTGAATGAGGGCTTTAGAGAGCCTGGAAATCTGTGCGTCTTTGCAAAGTTTGCAAAATAGTTTGGAGCTAACAGCTGTGGGATGGCGCGGCAGTTCTAACGCGTGAGAATGGTTACTCGCCTGCATTTTAATGACTGAAAATGTGAGGAGTCTATAAATTATTGGGTAGAGATTTATATAAATTGGAGATTAGACTCTCTTTCCCCGCTTCTTAACCCCCTATCTCCTCCACTGCTACCCCTTTTTTATCCGTAAATAACTTTTTTAGACCGGGATTTTAAAATGAGTCAAATTAGTCCCTTACGGAGTTGGGAAGGATTTTTAAATTGGGGCAATGCCTCGTCTTTGAAAAGAATGTGACACAAATGGGAAAAAAAGTGGGGACACCATCATAAATATTTTGCTTGTTGGAAGGAAGTGAATTCAGTCCTATATAAATATATTTATATGTAGATTTACCTTACGGATAATTAATATTTTGTGGTTTAGAAAGTTAGGCAGAACTTGAGAGATCTCACTGATTAACTCTTACATGTTGACTGTCTGGGAACCTAACCGAGGGAGGCAGGGTCCGTTTTTCTTTTGTGAAGTCATGGTAGTAAGAGTTAATAAATTAACCAGCATCAAATGAACAGTGGTTTATTTGCTTTGATTTCTCACAGTCAAACCCTGAAATTAACAAACATATTTTAGTTTGCTTTTTTTAAAAATTTTAAATAAAATTTGAACACAGTCTTAAATTTATTACTTAAACTGGATGTTGATCCTGTGTTGTAGTCTGTACAGGCAATTGATATATGTCAAAACATAAAAGGAAAAAATTTATGCTAGTTATTAAATCTAAATATACTGAATGTATAAATTTTTAGATGAAAAATCTTAATTTCAACCTCAGATATTCTGAGTTAACAGAATTTACTTTGGAGATTGTGTTTCAAGAATTAATGAGTTGTCACAAAGAAGTATCTTTTGCCAAATATAAAGAATTTGAGTTCTGAATGTTAGTTTTTCGTTACTTACTGTTGGTGACTACTTACTCTTTGCAGCTAGATTATTAGATTCTTGGCTTTACTTATTTCTGGAAAGAATAGCCTATAACTAGTTTGAACAGCATTTTGATCATCATAAGCATTTCTGGGAACCTAGACAACTTTCCCACATGGCAGAGAAGATCTCAGTGCCAACCACAGTTGCACTGGTCAGCTTTTGCCTTCAGTATTAGGGCTATTGATAAGTTGCTGGCTACTTTGTAGCAGGTATAAATAGTTGAGGAGACCAGTTAATTCAAGCTTGTGGCACACTGAAAACAAGCAAAATGAAATACTAAATATGGGTAAATACTAAAAATGTTAAGCCAATGTGAAGGTGAGAAAGACTTATTCCAGTTACTGAAACTTTGATATTGGTATACCTAAGTTAGAGAGAGACAAGTGATAGCATTTTCTAGTTTTTATTTGCAGTTTCACGTTAAACAGCTTGTTTTGTGCTGAGGTATTACTATCAACAATAATTGGACCAGTTATTAGCAGAAACTGTGTCTCTTTAGTGTGATTTTGAAAGATGTCCTTTTCCTATATTTAGAGTTTTATTCTTTAGCAAATGTCTCAAGTTTTACAGTGATAGTAAAAAAGAATGAATTTGAAAGAAATCTGACTTTTTTGCACACTTTACTGTATAGTACTTGGAAATTAGTACAAGGGAATTTCACACTCACTTTGGATTCTCAGTTGGTCTTTGCCTTTCCAGCTATATCACTTAATGCAAATAACTTGATTAAAAATTTTTTTCTTGGCCCTCCCTGGTGGCGCAGCGGGTTAAAAGCACAGCACTGAGAATCTAAAGCCGCTTCTGCATGAGTTCAATTCCCGCCTGCCCCGGAGGTGACCACATGGCGTGGCAGACCTCTCCTGACCCGCCCGCTGCTCCCCTCAGCAGTGTACTTCGTCGATCTGCCTGTTCTGTTCCCCACTCTGTCTCTGGTGAAGCCTCTCACCGCCCCTGAGCCTCTGGCCTGTACCCCAGTTCTGTATGCACAAATAAATAAATCTTTAAAAAAAAAAATTTTTTTTTTCTTTGTAAATTTGGAGGGAATTGTAAATTCACGTTGTTTATTCAACAAATATTTCTTCAGTGCCTTCTGTGTACCCCATTACCTCGTGTTAGGTCACTTGTTTCAACAATGGGTGAAATAAATCCTTTGCAGTGAATTACAGCCAGGTACAAAACTATGGTGTCTAACTTGATTTGTGGGAATCAGGCAAGCTTCCTGAAGGTAGTAACTTACAGGGTGATAGGGGGGCTGGATGGATGGTAATTTTGAAGAAGAGCATGTATATAGACCCTGAGGAGACTGTAGTGAAGGTTAGAATGTGTAGTAGTTGCCTACATGGTGGAATATAAACAGCCACTATTGTGGCCAAAAAGCCTGTTGACACCATATTCTTCTAAATGAAGTGGCTAGTCTTTTTCCATAGCCACTGGAGAAAGGGAGTATGTCTTGACTAAGAACACTAGACCTAGAAACTCTGTCTGCTTTGGTGTCTACTTTCATAACCCTGGCATGGCTTAGTTCTTGGTTTCTGTATCTGTAAAACTGGAATTAAATAAAAATATTAAAAAAAAATTTTAAACACAGAATAGGACATAGTGTTTTGATTTGATGTTGATGACATTTTTCCTTGGAAGAGCTTAGACTACCTTATTTAAAATATTTACTCACGAAATAATAGTAGTAATCTACTCTAAAATAAAGATTATTTTGTAATTGTTAGGTTTCATTTGCTTATAGAAAGATCGAGAATGATTCTGGTATTTCATGTGTTATTTGATTGTCTCTAAATAACCTCTAAAGAGATTATTTCATTATTCTCTGATAGAAGTACACACTGTACCTGACACTGATATGAGTGTAGAAAGAGTTATAGCTACTTTGGAATTTCCCTTTTATTGAATTAGTAAGTGAATTAAAAATATTAGGGTAATATTTTTCATGAAATAAGTGAAATAGTATAATTTTAAACTGCTTAATGTGTTTATTTCAGTTAGTAATTTTAAATAGATAAGTAATGATAAGTTGATATTTTATTATTATGAAAGTAACATAGTATTTATCAATATAAACCAGTTGACTAGCTAGGCTTATTGCTTTTTTTTTTAAAAAAATTTTAATGCTTATTAGCATAACTGGGAAAATAAGAAAAGATAAGGTAAAGTAAGCTTTTGAAAAGTCAGTCATAAGTAAAAAAAACTGAATAGATAGGGAGGTTAAAATTTACAAAGGTTAGGTATGTGCTAGACATTTCTGTGTATTTTACTGATATCTTCTATCAAAATGAATTGGCACATAAATATTGATATGAATGCTAAAAATGTAAAAAAAAAAAATCTCATTTTACCTGTTCCATGTTCTTTTTTCTTTCTAGTTTTGTTTTGGATGGATTAAAAAAGAACAATTTTTCCATTTTCTCTGTTTTTATTAACTTGAAATTATAGTCTTTTACTATTTGTTTAATTGAGTAAATTTTAGTTTGCCTATGAAATTGTAACATATTTATGACTTCTCAAAATATAGTATTTGTTGAGACATTCATCTTTTTTCTAGACAATGCAAGACTTTTAAAAATGTTTAACTTATTTTCCTTCTTACTGATTTATATATATATATATATATATATTTAAGATTTATTTATTCATACAGAACTAGGGTACAGATCAGAGATGCGGAGGGTGAGAGATTCACCAGGGACAGAGTGGGGAGCAGAACAGGCAGATCAATGAAGTACACTGCTGAGGGGAGCAGCGGGCGGGTCAGGAGAGGTCTGCCGCGCCATGTGGTCACCTCCGGGGTAGGCAGGGATCGAACTCATGCGGAAGTGGCTTAAGCTTCTTTGTGCTGTGCTTTAACCCGCTGCGCCAACAGGGAGGGCCTGACTTATATTTTTAAATGCAGATTTTTTTAAACCCCCATAGACTTACTTCTTTTGTACTGTTACTATCAGTTAGACTGACTGCATTTTCCTGTCCTTCATTCTTTCATTAATGATCTTCCATATGGAATAGTTTTCCTCTTTCTAAAGAATACCTTTTAGTATATTCTTTAGAGTAGACCTAGCATTGACAAATTTTCGAACTTTTTGTTTGGGATTTTTTTTTTTTTGCTTGTATTCTTGAAACTTTTTTCTAGGTATAGAATTCTAGATTGGAGAATCTACACACGTACATAATTTTATATAATTTTATATAATTCTTTAGAGAAGAGACAATTCTGTTGGTTTTGTTTCTGCAAAAAAGTCAGTGTACTTTAATTTATTGCTTTCTTGGTAATTTGTTTCTTAGGATGTTTATTGGTAATTTATTTCTTAGGTTATTTTTACCATCCAGATCTTTGAATTCAATTGATTCTTACCCTTTCCCACTCCTTTTTTCATGCTTGGTGTAAATAGGACTTTTTGATGCTATGACTTGATGTTTATCATGAGTTTCAGATAGTTTTGAAGTCTTAATCGCTTTAAATACTGCTTCTTTCCCATTCTTTCATCTAATCTTTC